TAACTGTAAATGCATCATTGTGAAGGAGTGCATGTATAGAGTTGCATCTTTATGCTATACACACTACATGCACTAAGCTAAATTTTCCATCACAATATATTAGTCTGTGCAGGCCAATGTATGGACAAATTGAGATCGGCAGCATCAAGTATCTTTGATGGTCCAYGCTGGGCAACGTTGACCTGGAACGATCTGGGATATTCCAAGAACATGGGATCACAGACGTAATGCCTGGATCTTAYGCAGGGGTTTTAGTGCAAATAGAAGTGTTTAGCCACAGTCGTCTTCTTATTCAGAGTATATAAAAATAAAAGCAAGTTGTTGCCCAGCCTGACCCCCAGATTGGCTGGTTTTGCACAGGAGTCGCTTGGCACCGGGTCTGCCAACAAGGTGAACACGACATTTTACAGGCTAACGATTGCTATAGCAATGCTTCCAGTACACTGTATTAGAGGCTTGCAAGATAGAAGTATCTGCACAAGTTTAGCAACTTAAATGACTGGCCCTGCTTTGGCAGGAGTTTTTCCATGCGGGTAATAAAGCCAGAGGTGAAGCCCATAAAACCATGGGCTCTTTGGGAGAGAGGACAGGGTTCTAAGCAAAAAAAGGATTTTTTTTTTTTTTAATTTCACACTTGCATCAAATAGATCCAAGTGGGAAAGTGCTTGGTGCCTCTTTAACACATAGAAATTTTGATTCACAAACATGCTACGCCTTCCGAAAAAGACACAGATAGGCTGTTTAGATGCAACCAAGTGTCACAGGTAAAGCTCAGCGTTTCCTCAGGGCAGGTCTCCTGTACAAAGAGCAGGCTGAGGGACAATTCTTTGGAGAAAAAGTCAGTCGGTTCCCTTTCATAATCTGGGCAAAGCTTCAGACACTGTCAAAACGGTGTTCAATTTTTGATTCCACTTGGCTATCACAAGTTTCTGATATCGCCACATTGATATGGGACACTACAAAACCATAAGTGAAATCATATCTGCAGAGAGTTTCTAGGAATTCTCCCAATTTTACATGCAAGGAAGTCTGGAAGTGTGAATATTGCAACACAAGTACAATGAATTGACAAACTGTACCAGCAACAAGAATTCTTACCCTGGAAACTTGAGCACAACGACATAGAGTGACCACATCCAGGAAAGAGAAAATTCTGTAACAAAGGCAAAAATATATACTTTTGGTTATTTGCATTTAAAACAAAGAGAACACAAAAAAAAAAAAAAAAANAAAAAAAAAAAAAAAAACACTTAAAGAAAAGAAAGTGGATACAGCAGAGCTTCATAATACGTCTCAAAGCTTAATTGCAAAAAGAAGTGCAGATCAAACAATTAATAAATGAAAGTAGAAGCCACAGACACCAAACTCRGCAACACTAACCTCGTACCTTGTAGTATTTACTGACAGTAAACAGACTGATTATTTATCTAAAAAGCAAATGCTTACAGCCATCATGTAGCCTGGCTGTCAAACAAGCAATCAGGTCAGGGTATGGCAAAATAAACAGGTATTGGACACGGGAGCGTAGCTGCACCCCGTACTTTTCAATCAAGACGTGGGTTTTTTTTTGAACAGCTGTCCTCCCCAGGAGGCAGCGAGACAAGTAACAGTCAAGAAACCAAAGCAAAACCCCAGGCTGACTTTAGCTTGTGGCTTATTTCGAATTTTTCACCTCTCTGTGCTGCTCACCCAGCAGCAGGAGGACTATTTGCTGTGAAGCACCGCAGAGCAACCTGCATGGCGAGGTGGTTTACTGGCACGTGTGAGCTCCACGCGTCCGAGACGCGTCCAGGATGGAGCTGATCCGGTCACTCCTCTGCGGAATGTCATTCCCGTGCCAGGGCACACCCAGGGAACACCCTGGCCTTGCTGCCCTATTTACTGACATAAAAGGATTAGACAGTAGCGCTTTGCAATGTTAGAGTGGGCTAGGTCTCCGAGTTCTCAGTTTACACACACCCTTACCTGTGAATGCGTGGTGACAAAATACAACCTAAACTCCCAAGTCTATAAGCAATTCATCTATATATTTTATGATTTATGGTTATTCAACATTCCACATTCAACATTCCATCCCACTGATGGAAAGAATCGAGCAGATACTGAAACGCAGGAAGGTCTCCCTGTTGGGGCAATTATCCACAAAGTAAGGAGGTTTTGCAAAGAGAACACAAGTGTTTTAACTCCAAGAAAATATCTGCATGTTTTCTTCAATGTTTTAATGATTATGGGAGAGAGAAGGCTGCTGTTACCAGATACAAAGGGGAAAGAGCTGGGACAAGGTATATAGTTCCAATGCCATGCAATATCTTATAAAATACTCTCCTCAGATAAAAGACACGTAGCTCTTTCATTACCTGCATCTCTTGATTTAACTCAAGACAGTCTGTGGACTTGGGAAGGTGTCTGTAATAAACTTCCCTGTACTCTCAACAGATCTACCTGTGCTGGAAGAGACTTAGCAACATCTTCTCATGTCTATCAGGGTGATTTTATTTGCGTGCATGTGACTTTTAGACTTGACAAACACCCTGTGTACCAATGCCTTACTGAAACTCTTACATAAAGCTGTGCGATGTACTCACCTCCTCTGATAAACGCAAGGAATACATTTGACTAAACAGCCCAGCTACTGAGAAACCTGGGGGAAGAGGTGCCAACAACAAGAGCAAACACCACAAGCACCGAGGATAAACTGCCCTTTGTCCCCGAGCCGAACAGCGAGGGGTCATCCGGGCTTCTGCTATCACATATAGGCGTGTTAATGCACACCAGCTACACGCACGGATATACATCTGCTTGCACGTTATATACAAGGATTCACAAGAGGATTCCCTACTCACTCTTACSTGGTAATTCCAAGGATGACTTGCTCCTAAGGACTAGCTTAGGTGCATAGATATGTGTGCACTGAGGGCTTAGTTAGCGCGACCCCAGTGAGCAGCAACCCAAGGAATGGCTAAACACATGACAGAAGCCAGGGAACACTCCTGCTTTTCCTCTGAATTCTTGTCACAGGACCAAAAAATACCCATCTCCACAGGACCAGTAGCCAAGTCAACAGCAGGCCCGGTTTCTATATTTTCATTCAACTCTTGCGTTCTCCATGGAGATCCCAGGCTCCCATCCCTCCGAGGTTCCTGCCGGGGCCCAGGCGTTCCCAGCTCGCTGCAACTCCTTTTTTTTCCACCCATCCCCTGCACTCACTGTATTTAATGGATGATTTGGCTAAAACACACTGCAAACCGGCAGCCAGAGCATTTCTCAGGTTTCAGCCTCTGAATTTGCTAACACTCTCCTCACTTTCTCCTTGCCACCGCTTGCTCTGTGGCAGCCCTGGTCCCAATCAAATCCAAGCTCCTGGAGAACAAATCAACGAGGGGCTCGAGGGTCGCTCGGCAAAGCCGCCACCAAGGGCTGGCCGTGCCAGAGAYGGGCCAAGAGGCAGCACGGAGACGAGAAGCCGCTTAACCCAGGGGAGCAGCGCAAAGTGCTTGACCTGCCTGCAAACCAGCTTTGCCGGAGAGGCTGCTCCTAGGGAGAGAGGCTGCAGATAATCCCATCTCCTGCTTGAGCTGCGGGAACCCGCAACGGACCTGAGCGCCCGCCGACCACGCCGGGAACGTGAAGCAGGGCCAGGCTTCAAAGGAGCCTTTCCAAGGACCTCTCTCTTCTCGTGCACCCTTTTCTCCCGGCCACACGTGTCTCCATCTCGGCGTGGGACAGTGGCTCTTGTTCTCCCCTTCGGCCTCCTCCTACCCGTCGCTGCACTGCAGCCCAGCTTTCCACTCCGCAGGCGCACGAGCCATCAACGCTGTCTCCAGAAGGAAGGAGCCGGTGAACAAGACGCTGCTCTAACACATAAGTCTTTGTCTTGCAGACAGCGACGCTCATTTAGAGGCGATTCCTCGAGATAAATGCATCCAAGTTTCTCTTTCAAAGGCTGCACTGTCAATCCACGCTATTTAACTTTCACAGTATGCTAACAGTGAATTCCTGCTCTCACAACCATTACTTATGAACTTTAACATTTATAAACTCCATCTCCTGATTTTTCCCCAYGTCCTCACACCCCTGAACGCTGACTCAAGCCTCCAGCAGCTCGGGATGATGACTTCGATAAAGACACAATAAATATTTCCCTGCACCAAAAAGGCACAGTGCTGAAAACTCAGCTACCCTATGGCTTGTGATGACAAAATTCCCTAGTTGCGACATTCCTCCTGCTTCCCAAATCCTGTTCTCCAGCAAATTTCTCTGCTCCTCAACACTTCAAATCCCCCCTGCAATGCAGCCACGCCAGCGACTGTGGGCAAGGCCTGGGTGAGGACACGTGCCATCCTCTGCAAAAAGCCACACACAAAGCAATCCGGGTCACATTTGCTGCTCCATTCCCGTTGTCCCAGTGCCTGCAAGTGYTCCCTGCTGCTGGATGCTGGTCTTTCCCACTCTGCGTGGCACGGGCAAGCACTTGCCTACAGGCCAGGCTCCACAAGCAAACACCTGGGACATGAGCAAGGAGGGATTTAGAAGCCGTACATTTGGAAGAAGAAACTGTTATTTCAATAAGATTACTCTCAGATGAAGAAGAGTGGAGTAAAAGAAACTGAATCAGACTGGAGATGCCGTTATAGAGAATAAAGCAGACAGCAGAGCCGACAAAAAGGAGGCATTCTCAAGTAGTAGGGTGKTTTTTTTAATTAACTTTATTTCACAAGGCAGCGAGGAGCCGTTTTGTGTACCAGACCTTCTCTCCAAAGGCTTTTTCTTGCCAGTAAATGCTGACAGATCTGCAGTTTCTCGCAGTGTAAAATGAGCAAARTTCTTAATAATCCGAGCTGCCACCTACCATCTCCTGTCACTGTTCAGAGTCAAACATTTCCACTTAAACCACTGATGATCCTGAACTTAAGACATGAAAGGGAGGCCCGGGGCCCAGCCATACACACTGGCCCTGCTGCTGCCCTGGCAAAGGCAAATTCCAGACCGTGGGCATGAGGGCAGCACGGGAGAGGGCACAGACACAGACCCACATCCACGTGAGCTCTGCCAACCCACCATCCTGCCAGGTGCTGCACATGGGCTTCTTGTTTACAAGGAGCAGCACCAAGTTTGCCCAGCCTCAATGGCAACAAGACAATTCCCCCGGATCATTATTTTTTTCTAAAATGGAACATTTTACAGAAGACAGGCAGAATCATATTCTGCACATTAGCCTCTACTTACCACTTATTTTCATTAAGGACTTGTTTAGTCCTACCCTTCTTCATCTATAAAACAGGCAACCAGCAAATTAGCATTAAAAAATACTATCTAATAATATTTAGCATAAACTGCTACCAATGTAGACCTTTGATGTGCTTCCATTTTGTTTTTTTTTTAAGGCTTGGCAAGTGAAACAGTCCAAGCTCATTATTTACGAGCATTCTTACCGAAGCAGCAGCTCTTTGGGGAGTTTTTTGTTGATCACAGCTTCATCGTTGTTTGAGAACATCTGTAAAGAGAAACAATGGAAACCCACTTAGCCTTGTATATTCATTAAGGATGAATATACCCAACTTAAGCCCGCTGCAGGAAAGCGACTGCAGGTTACGAGGGCCGTTTCAAGAGGTCCTGTGAAACCAGAAGATAAACTTGGTGCTTAAGTTCTCCARCTCCTGGATGGGAGCAGAGTTGGCTGGAGTCTAACACCTAATATAGCTTTAATTGGGCCAGGGCTGCTTTGTGGATTGATGGAATCTCCCCGGGGATGTTTATTTCTTGAAGGAAGCCGCGGTTGGCAGGTGTTGATGGGCTGGCACTGCCCTGGAGGGCATTCCAGGGTTCCTGTAGGAGAACAGGGACGTGATGCGTGCCGGGACGCAGAGATCTAGCAAGAAAAAAGGTATTTCAGTGACAAAAGTCTTTGCTAGGGAGCCATAAGAAAATCAGAAGGTAATCTCGTGTATTTCTTGGGAGATATCTACATACATGGAGCAGGTCTAGCAATGTCTTGCCACAGTGAGAAGGCCAACCCTGTGCATGCTTACGCCGGCGGGAGGAATGACTGGAGAAGAGACGTCTAACATGAGCTTCCAACACTCCCAAATCTGACACGGGGAATGAGCAACACGAGTTCCTTCCATTCATAAAGCTTCTCGTCAACCTCCTGGAGCAACCAGGAGGTGCTCGTCCCGAGCTATGTAGCTGGGAAGAGCTACTAACTGAACCTGCAGCCAAAACCGGTCGATTCTTACCAGTTCATTAAGYGAGCTGGACCAATTTAGCTGTCCCTATGCAAAGCAAGGAAAATCAGCATCAGCCAGGTGGCTTAGGTGGCAGAGGATCGGATTAAGAGTTAAAAAAGGCAAGTAAGATCCGAGTGGCTTAGGACGCCGTACGCGGGGCCTCATTCGGAGGGACGGGAGCCTCGCCAAGCAACGCCCAGGCCCTATCTGCACCCATAACGGGAAAGCATCGCAGCTCAGCACCAAAAGCTGCTGCCTTAGGTGCAYGGGCCTTTCAGCACGTCCCTGTGGAGATGGACAACCCACCCGCGGGGAAGGCAGCCCAGGAGCGCGCCAGGAACAGCGGCTTCGGGGACCGCGAAACCAAGGGCTGCGCCCCCGGACCACAAMCAGCTTTCTCGAAGATGATGTGCAGACGCTGAAGGGTGTCGCTGTGCCGGGACACGAGCTCTCGAGTCACCCGGCCGTGTCCCCTGCCCGCGCGGCCTCTTCTCGCTTTCCCTGGCTGCCCCGGCGAGCTGGCGGCTCCGGGAGCGCGCAGCGCCTTGCACAGCGGCACAGATCATTGACTTCATAACAGATCATTAGCCAGAATGCTTCCACGTCCCTTCCGTGTGGGGCGAGGGCACAGGAGCGCTTCCATTCCCAGGAGCGCCTCCATTCCCAGMGGGAAGCGGGTGGCTGAGCCCTGTGTTGGCCACCACGCGGCACCAACATCCTCCATCCCCTCCGCTCAATGGGAGGGATGCTAAAGGATGCCTGAAAAGGCAGCAGACGGGCAGGTGTTAAAGCACCGGCTGCAGAAGCAGCCAGGCAGCCTTTTCCATCCTCTCTGCGCTCATCACAAACACCTTTTCCGAATTCAGGTCTTACTGGGAGATCCAGGCAATCGTCACCACCTCCTGCGAAGGGAAATTCTACGGCGAGGACACTAAGAAACAGCTCRGAGCAGAATGCCGATAACTCCTCGGCTCCACGTTCTCCTATCTTGCTTGCAGTGCAAACCAAAGCCTTCAAACCTGTTCTCTCTATAGAAACTCCCCTTGGCTTGCACTCTGCTCACGGAAGGTTTGTTTTCTTTATCTTCTTGAAGCCCTTGCACTTAAAGGCAATGGGGCAGAGGCAGGGCAAGCTCGGTGAGAACCTCAGCTCTGCAATTCGGCCTCTAYTGGAAGACCGAGCAGTGTCAGGGGCCACTGCCAGACCTAAGTATTTCCCCAAGATTTCCTCCCAAACTTGGTGCTCAGACAGTGGCTGGGCAAACACAAGCTGGAATGGGGACATGTTTGGAACCCAGTTTGGGAGCAGAGCGCGACACGAAGAACCAAAATGCCAAGAGCTCGGAGGGAGGAATCCTTGCTCTTCTCCCCATCTGAAATTCAGAAATAAAGAGGAAAAACCCCGTGACACAGAACACGCRCAACAGAGGAAAAATGGACCTCGCTGGTTTTCTTTCCTAGGCTGAGGTCATAGCAACATGCATAGCGATTGAGATGCAMCAAGGGGCTGCAGGCTTTTGGACAGGTCCATGCGAAAGAACAGAACGACTCGAATTAAAAATAATAAGAAAAGGGAGGCCATGTTAAACTTCAACAGCAGAACTGCACAAGGGTYGGGGCTGCGTGAGAGCGCTCGGACCGAGCTCCTGCTCAAGCAGGGCCACCAGGACGGTGTCCCAYGGCCGCTGAACATCGCCGAGGACGACGACTCCACAGCCTCCCGCGCAACCTGCTCCACAGCCCTGCCGCTCTCGGGAGCTTCCCGTGTTTCTGCTCATTCCCGTTGTCCCTCATGCTGTGCCGGGCACCTTGCAGAGCCTGTCCCCTTCACGCACAGACACGTGTTGGAAAGATCCCGCCTCGCTCTTCCCTGCTCCAGGCCCAGCTCTCTCAGCCCTTCCTCACGTGAGAGCTCCAGTCCCCAAGTTATCTTAGCTCTCAGCAYGCTGTTTTTGCATCAAAGCCACTTAGCAAAACGTGCAATCGTTTATTTATTTTAATTCCTCTTTCCTTGCTTCTCAAACACGAGCAGTTTTGCAGGCTGCTCCGAGAGGCCAACCGCACTCTGCAAGCGTTCCATGCAGCACTAGGACAAACAGATTCACCTGCTGCTCAGCACCAGCAGCCCTCCAGGAGACAGAGAAGACGACCGAAGCACTGGCTGCACCAGCCGCTCATTACAGGGCCCAGGAGCCCAAACTGGGTCGTGTTTTCTGACAGCAGCCCGGGATGCAGATGCCAGCGCTGAGCGCGCAGGGGTTGCAGCTGTAATTAGCAACATCCCTGCGCCTTCCCGCGTGCAGGACCTGTCACCCATCCATGTGTAGCTTAGACACAAAGACACATCAGGTTGCCCTGTCTCCAYGGCAGAAGATACTGAAGAACCTCATTATTCGCAGCATTTCCCTCCCCAGTTTTGTCCTCGAGAAGGAAAAGTACAAATATTGTCCTTTATGGACAATATGGTCTCCAATGCAGCCCGGCTGGGTTACAAGCAAAGAGGCTCCCCAAAGGGCATAGGTTGAGTTGAGGAACCTCTGTGGAGAAACACCAGGTGCGACAGAGGAAGGGAAGAGGAAGGGAAGAGGAAGGGAAGAGGAAGGGAAGAGGAAGGGAAGAGGAAGGGAAGAGGAAGGGAAGAGGAAGGGAAGAGGAA